ACCCATCCGGTGGGACCGAAAGACAGTGGCCTAAACTAAGAACTTAGTCCACACACGAGAACGTATTCATGATGCGATCGGTATGTGTACAAAAGCACACCCAAGACACGTCCACATAAACACTGAACCGATTGAATCTCAGATCGCAGCCAACTTGGACTACCGGTATTGCACTGTGATAGGCTGTCGAACTAACACCGATCACCCTGAACACGATCGATACGTCCACAGAAAGAAAACGGGCACTTAAACACTGGTCACTGTTTCCACTCATTTCAGTAAGATTGCTGATATTATTCCAGGTTGCGTTGCAAATATTCACAAGAATTCTTGCTATTCAAACAGTCAGTGGAGTACCACCATTGATATAAATACCGTATGAATCCGTTTATACGTTTTTGGGAAATGGAGACGCAATTCATAGGAAAAACCATAAAATGCGGTGGCTGCATCAGCCACGAAATGAAAAAGACCGTAATCCGAATTTCCCAGCCAAAGTCAAGTCCTTCTGAGATTCAGCTACAAACATAACGTAAGCAATTTGTATCAATCGTTGTGGCTCGTGAGTTACCAAAGGCCATTAGGGTTAGCTAAACCCATGTTCTGACGAATTCATCCCGGAGTTACGCTCTATATTTTATTGCATAGCACAACTGTTTAGAGGAAGAACCAGAAATCCTACGATCAAACAGCAGACCATGGAAACACCAGGTAGCAGCATGTCTCATCGTCCACCCAATTGACTGAATTACCATCAAGCTGCAGCCCTCACTAACGTTGTCTGGAGCGATGTGCAGCCAAACAGTCACACCACATATTTAAGGGGAATTGTTTTACATTTGTGTAAGCAGGCCAATATCTAGCGTTCACACAATGGTCATAGAAAGTAGGGGCTTTAAGTCAACTAGGCATGATTAACTTCATTGCCTAATATCGAAATCAATGACAGAACCGAGGATCGACGGTGCAGAAATAAGCCAAAATTACGGTGTTGGAGGAAGTATCATATGGCAAAGCGTAAGCGACAACTGCCAATGAGGGGACGGTAGGAGGCAAAAACAACTAGAACAAGCAACCAAAAGGATTAAGAACCCAGAAACGAGGAAAGAGCGATTTCTTGGTGCACAATGACCGAAATGGATTGAAACGCGAAAAGGAATAAATTGCACGAAAAGCGATTTGTGAAAGATGGTCTAGGTGGAAATTAGTTCTGGAACAGTTGCTTGGTAAAACTATGATAATCATATGCATCCGGAATAGGTTGTCCACTTTTCGTGTAATAGGGTGGCATCACGCGGCAACAGTACTCCGCTTGCTCTTTTGATAGATTCTGAAGAACAAAAAATAAATTCAGTGAGTAAACACCGCGTAGCAAAAATGTACAAGTGACTTTTACGAGTGAGTCACCAGAAACAATGGAACTGAGAAAATAAGGTCAAGGGTGGCAGCTAATTAACTGAATACCAATGCGGCCCGGACGATTTGGACGGGAGGGGTAGAAGTATGCGAAGATTTTCGCATAGTACCTGTGCCTTGCAACTACACAATTCAGTAGTGAAAACTTCGTGTTGATTATCAATAACAATGAATTGTAAACAGAAATAAACCGACTAATTCTACTTACGCCCGTTGATAATATCTCAGTTCAGTTCAGTTCTTACAACCATTAACCATGCACTGTCGTGCACCGGGTTGGGTTGCCCATTTGGATAAAACAGCAGAATGATGATTAGAATGTTGAGAGCAGATTCAAACGGAAGATAGCACATTCTCATAGACTGAAGCTACAAGAATAATGAGTAGATGCATAAGCGCCATTGTTTGCGACACCCAGCCATATCACTGTGTTTCTAACAACCGGTGACAATGATCTCTGGGTCCCCAGCCAGGGAACCTAATGGGACCTAAGCGAACCAGTCTTCTGGTCAGAGTTTTCAAACTCTCATGCCAGGTCTTAGCTTGACCGCCCTTTATTTTTTGCCAACCGCTACCTGCCTCGCCAAGCATCGCTCGACATGGCAACCCATCTGGTGACATGCGTAGCACATGTCCCAACCAGCGTAATCGAACCAACGTAACTACCTGTTCCAGTGGACGACCGCGATTACCTAAAACTCTACGCCTAAACTCAGCGTTGCTAGTCCACCATCACCCACCAGACTTGTGCAATACTGCGCAGACAGCGGTGTTCGAACATCGACAGTCTATTTTTATCCCGTTCCCGTAATGGCCAAGTCTCTGCGCTGTAAGGCCGAACTGCTGCAGCATATACTCGACCCTTCACAGACAACCGGATGTCGCGACGGTTGTTTGTGAAGGGTAGAATTTGCATAGCACTGCGCTAGACACAATATTCCGAAAAAATAGTTCTATTTTATAGGCACAAGTGAATCTCGTTATCGGACATCGGCTTTGGAGTTGCAAATGTATTTATGTATTTACTTCCTAACCGGTTTTGAATCCACCAAGAAAGTTCTGCTAAGGGCTGGGCAACCTAGCCCTATTCCACCCATAAGCAAGTAACAGATCTTCGTTCTATAAACATTATTGTACCTAAAATTTGTTTGGCACACTGTCTGGACTGTCTGGAAAACTGCCAGGCTGTCCAGGCCAAAGCAGGTGCTCAACATAAGGTTAGTCGTAGCCTCGATGACGCACCCACCAAGCACAGTTACTTATCGATCACCTGATCGCGACATCACGGTGGGGTAATACCTGTTCATTCACAAATAAAATTACATTCATCCTTGAAGTACCCCTCTTGCTCATTTATTGAATCCATGTGCTGGTGAATCAATCATATATATAATAACACATCCCAGAACCAGAAACAATTGGAATAGCATCATCCATGAATACTACATCGACGAACTCTCGCGAAGAGTTCATTTTTAATCTTTGCTCCCTATCCCTACGCAACGGTGCCTGGAAGTGATGTTTCCTCCTGCCACTGTAACTGAGTTTAGAAACGCAATAAAAAGCAACAGAACACTCAGTGCACGCAAAAGTGCATGCTTGATGGGTTAGTGTAATACGACAGCGGCTATCAGAAATACCATACGCAAATGGAACCTACCGCGTACAACTGTTCCTTGGTGATGTATTCCTTGCCTTCCTTGAGGTGTTCCTTGCCGTCTTTTGTCAAGGCACGGAAGGCTTCTTCGACTTCATCGCGAGATTGGACGTTTTCTGTCTCACGACTGATCATGAACGCCATGAACTCCTGAAGTGTGACTACACCATCTCTGTTAGGATCCACCACATTGAGGATTGCCTCAAACTCTTCGTCTACTTGACCTTCGCCGACTTCATGAAGATCATGTCCAAGTGCACGAAGGCAAGACTTGAACTCCCGGTGATCCAGACGACCGGATTTATCTTTATCGAAATGTTTGAACATCATGGAGAATTCCCGTAGTGCTTCCTCGCTCACTCCACTAACGTTTCGGGCTTGAATTTGTTGTTCTAAGTTGTGTTGCATACGCATTGCCAGTTGATTTAGCTGATCCCAGGCTTGACTGAGACCCACCTGGAACGAAACGATGTCAACCACCGGTTTAATGCTTACTACTAATTGTGTATTATTTTACAAGGAAACACTATTATGGAATACTCGGTGAGAAGTAATGAAAATCAAATCATGTTTAGTCAAGAAAAACGTACCGTGCTGTGTTCTGTATAACGATTATCTAGAATGAGGCGCTCTTTAAGACGAGCACCAAGTTCTTCGATTTCACGCAAATCTTTTTTGTGCGCGTTGACTTCGTTCGCCTTTTCACGGGTGGCTTCCAGCTGCTCCTCCAGCGTGCCGCTGGCTTCCATCATAGAAGTCCGCACATTCTGAGAAATAGTGGAAATAAACCGAGTACGTTGATGATTAAAGCCGGAATTTGCAAATCACCAATAAATGAATCAGCGCTTGAATAACATCTAGTGTATTGCAGTTACATTCGAATTTTCGAGTGTCCCGAAAAACAATTGGGTGAACCGCCACAGTTTACACGACATTAATGTGACTCATAAGGATCAAAAGCAGAGTACCATGTTCAAGCACAAAAATAAAATGCTTCAATGCTCACGAACCGCAATCGTGAATAAGAAACAACAGTTGTAAACGATAGTCAGAACAAATTGCAAACATATTAGAATAACAAAAACCTTAAAGGTGCAACTTACAGTGAGCCACTGGTGGAAGGCATTTGCTACTTGAGCGAACTCCTGGCGTAATTGATCGTTTTGTTCTTGACGCAAGGTTTCGTTGCGCAGTTCAGCATCGCGTTCCGCGATTATCTTTTGCAAGTTGCGCCACGTGTCGATCAATGCTTCCATTGTGAACCAAGTGTAGGGGTTCATACCAACCTGCAAAACAAATTTGTATGTGGATCGACGGAGGATAGGAACGGAACCTCATTAGAAGCACTGATTAACCTGTAAGTTGCACCAGTGCCGGCGAATGCGGATGTGTAAAAATGAGGATTCGTCCTATAGCTTTACTATATAGTTGTCTAGACGGCTAATAGAGGAATACAAAAATGAACTAAGCATTGATAATTTAATACACTCAATGTGTAACTGATTCTATAGATATCTATTATGCTGTTTAAATCTAGAAGAAAACTTATGAGCTTAAAAAGACAAATAATGCAATAATGCAGTATAAAAGATCTAATTTCCAATAAAATACCAAACCCTAAGAAAAGAAGGCTGAAGTAGTCCCTCCCACCTCCGAGGGTAATTTACCACTATAAACGATTCTCGAATGAAAACAAAAACAGTAGACAAAACTTATTACCGACAAATAAACGGGACCGATTCTCTGGCTGCTTTCGCCTACGACTGAGCACCTCGCAGAGGTGAAATTTTTCGTTCATGAAGGATTAGGGTTTTATGATGAACGTGGATAAAGATAATTCGTTGGCAGCAAGCATGTATTTCTCACAAAGTAATCGAAGTGTATTTTACATTGCTTAGAAGAGAAAGATAAGACTTACGCCATAATTCTTGATTTCGTGGTCCAATTGTGCCAATTGTTGGAAATCTACTTCAGCTGCCTTCAAAGACAGCTTGAATTGATTTTGTGCTTCAGACAGTGCTCGCACCTCGTCAAGAGAATTGCAACGGACTGGATCCGTCAAATCCTCTTCGGCATTTTCGAACCACGAGTTGAACATGGATGCACGCTTAGCAAAAGTCAGGTATAACTCCTCAACTTTTTTATATTGTTCTTGCAATTGCAAAAGATCAGTTTTGCGTCGTTCGGAATCACGTCGCAAGCGTTCCCACCGATCCATTAGCGTGTTGAATCTGGAGAAAATCAAAAACACATCTCAGCATGCGAAATTGCTATACAGGACGATCAAAAACGATCAGTTTGGCGAATTAAACAATGTTTACAACGTAACGAGTACACGAAAATCAATCAGCAACTGCGAGAGCTGATAATGCACCCCATTATTCTGTGACGTTCCAGTTATTAGTTCCTCGCTATTCAAATCGAGCACCATACTTTACAGTGATCAGCCGGTATGGTGAGCCAAAGGCTTCGATGGAATGAAAATCAAACTGACAATATGGATCACGTAAACAAACAATGTGGCAAGCACATGTTCTAGTTGGCTACCTACCGTTGTTTGATTGCAGGAGTCTGAGCGTGATTGGCATTGACCAGTTGATCATGAAGCGCAGTAATCGTCTGAATGCCTTCAGCTTGGAAAGATTCCAGTGCAGTATCAAAAGTTTCATGTTTGGTCAGTAGAGTTTGGACACTGCTGAGGTCACGAGCATAGTCTTCGCTTCGCACTTGTGTTTCTCTATCAGCAATCCACGATTCAACTACGTCTGTTTTCCACATGAACTGCAAAAATGCTGAATTGTCGGTAAGATTGGACTTCCGACGTTGTGCGGCGTGCTTCAGTGTTTCTAGTTTCTCCCGTAAACCCTCGCGACGTTGGTCTATGGCCGCACGATTATGATTATCCGCTTGTATGAGTTCACCACCCAAAACACATAATTCTTCGCACTTATCATCGTGAATCTGAAAGAAATGTTTAGCAACACGTTAGTAATGAATTTCAAGGCATATAAAATTATAGAGATGATAGACACATACTTTAAGGTCGGTTTCAAAAGCCTCGTGCTTCTTTTGCAAACCCTGAACAGCAGCCAAAGTATCGCCGTAATCTTCACTGCTCAACAAGTGTTGCTTTTCTAAGATCCATGCTTCCTCTTCCTCAACACTGTCCAAAAAGTCTTGGTACGCCAGTGATTCCTCCAATTTCTGACGTCGTAAAGCGGTTAAGGCTTGAAGTTCTTCCCACGCAGATTGCAAATGCTGTGAAAGGGACGAAGCATAAAGAATGTTGATACAGAATTGATTTTCACGAGCCCAATGGGTTACCGACATCAACAATGAAACGTGCCCGATTGTCATACACACTACAAGGTACTACATCCGACCAATACATCAATCATGGTCACTCGGTCGTCTACTTATTCAAACGATTAATACCTGAAATGTTGAAGTAAACAACACCAAGTAGTAATTACGCGAAATTCAGAACACCAATCAATCGATTATTATGCAAGATCTTCAGTGAACCACACTGAGAACAAATGAAAACAGGGTTAGTATTAACTAGATTATGGACGAAATCGCAGCAATGGGTACAAACCAATGAGAAAATGAGGAATCTTCTGCCACAGTTGACAAAACATTTATACTCCGGACACTTGAGGCACGGGCGTAGCATTTATGAAAAGGAACTGCCTGAGCAGCCTCTGCTAGGGTTAGCACTACTGTACTCAAGCACACCTTTTCCGAATGAGCAAGGCAAGGCGCGGTCACTGTTTAACGATCGCGCGAGTTGACAATTCCTTTGTTTGCCAAATAGTTAAACCCTGACAGTTTAACCGAAAACACCGACAAGTTATTAGTACCAAACATTTGGAAAAGTCTTAGGAAAGATTGTGAAAACCGGTAGGCTAAAATGACTAGTGAAATGGAGGTAGCTTCTGCAACAGGGAAGTGAGACTGTTTCACCTGATACGCAGCACCAGAAGTCATCGCATACCGGGCAGTGAGACCACCTGCGATAAGAATGACAGGGTATCCAGAATAAGGAACGACTTGACCCATGGGTAGAGTATTTGTTCGAACAGTTCAATTTGATTAGTTTAGTTCCGATAATCATAGGTGTTGACTTCTACGATACTTCGCCGCCTGACACCCTTAAGAGAGATGAATACCCGCCAACATCAAGCCGGATTCCGACCAGGTCGCGGTTGGATCGACCAATCATCACTTTGCGTCAAGTCCTCCAATTGCGTCGCACGTATCGTCGGCCAATAATCGCAGTGTTCCTTGACCTAAAAGAAGCCTTCGATTCGACTGTGAAGCTCTTTTGGGATCGCTTCTTCGCAAAGGAATGCTGCGGAAGTATGTAAACCTATTGCGGTCGCTGTACCTGCATACTTCTGGTAGCGAAGGGTCTACGGTGGGGTAAGTAAATCGTTCGAAACCAGGAGCAGTGTTCACCAAGGGCGCCCTATTTCGCCATTCCTGTACAATCGTGTGCTTCAACACCCGATTTGTGAACATTGTGAGCTTGGCAGCGATAAGTGAAGTTCGCCTCACTGCATCTCGCTGTACGATGGTTGATGGTGATGAATATTTGGACAACTGTCAAACAAGAAATCAGATTGATTGCTGAGGTTAAAGTCAACAGATGCTAGACATACCGCCATTCTTTGTCGCACGACCTCTGGATCAGTCAACAGAGTTCCCACAGTCAGCTCCTCGCCCTGTTCCAAGACCTGTTTTATGGCAGGTGCGTGTGCAGACACCTCCGCCTCAATACGCTGGTGCTTTTTATGTAAGTTGCGCACTCCAATCAGATCACGACCGTAGTCCTCGGAACTAACGATTATTTTCTTCTCGCGAATCCACGTCTCCTCATCATCCATATTTCGGTAAAAGTCATGAAGTCGTTTGGCTTTTCCAAGGGTTACTGCTCGGTTTTCCGACTGCGCCCGAATCTAAAAAGAACAAACGGACGTGTTGAAATTTGATAAGTACGTTTATTGTACGCCTATTTTCGTGAACACGTACGAATGAATCTGTAAGCAGCGCTGAATACTTTGTCGGAAATACCCAGTTAATGGAATGAGGTAGAGAAAACGTATAACCACAATGAAACGGTAGGACTACCTTCTCATATCGCTCATTGATCATCTTCTTCCGTTCGAGGATCGTTTCGGCATCACCAGCGCCCGAACGAATAAATTCGTCAGCCCGGGCATCTAGCTCCTTAATGCGATCTTCGTGCGCTTGGATGTCTGTGACAATGACCTGTGAATGGATTCGAACAGAATTGTTGACGGACGGATGAAATTGATATTTGAGTCGCCTCCAAACAAAATAGCAACATCAAAAGATGGCCGATTCCATTCACTTCATTATAACTGTATTACAGAAGCTAGATAAGTCTCACGGAAAAAATGAAAAGTGAACAATACAACAGGAAACAGAGTGGTAGTTGACAGTAACTAAGCATGATTAAAATATTACCTGATGTTTTGACAGCAAACTGTCGACAGACGCCGAATCTTTCCCGTAATCTGGACTAGCCAGAGAGGTTTCCATTTCACCGAGCCAAAACTCAATATCTTTAATTCCTGCATCGTACTGAGCTTGACGGTTGGCCTCTTGTAACTTCTCCGATTTCTCTTTTGAGCGGTTAACCAGATGATCCCATTGGTCAGCTAGTTTTTCAATACGTTCTTGTACAATATTTTCCTGGCCTTTGCATTGCTCTGAAACGTAGGAACCTTCATATTAGCTGACACGAACAAAAAGCCGATGAATCACATCATATGAAGTGAAGATAGGAAACAATCAGAAGAAAATATCAAGCGAAAGCAAAATAGTTATCGTTAGAGCACTGGTTTTACCCGATAATAATGAACAAAGAAAAGCAGAATCGAAACAAAGAACATTGTTGTGAACGTTATAGTGTTAATAACACAATGATGTCGGTAAAGAATTACATTCGTTGACGTTTCGGTTACCTTTCTCAAGGCAGGTTTTACAACCAAATTTGTTGGGTTATCTGTAATTGTATGTTTTCCACGCAGTTCTTTTTATCCCTATTCTACCCCTTTCCTATCATTGTTATTCTTGTGTTAGCATTTATATATTACAATTACCTTGTTTGCATCACCGGGTGACGTTTGGATAGACAACTCTTTCAGAGCCAGTCCACTGAAGAATCACTGCTATGATTCAACGTTCTTTTAAGTGGGTTAGATGCTACTAACTGCAACACGCGTGACTTGATAGTCTTTCTAGAATATTTCATAATAAGTTTGGATAGACTCTAAAAGAGCTGTCTATCCAAACGTCACCCGGTGATGCAAACAAGGTAGTTGTGTCCAAAATATACTTCCTGGGTACAAGTATATGAATGAGCTGACAAAAGATTACCGGGTACGCATGCCTAAAGAGCGGCAAGGACCACGAAACCGGTCGTGTGCTATCAGGGAAATTTTGTCCAGTCAATCACGTACTACTTATCATGAAACATATATATATATATATATCATAGGAATAAGAATAAAGTAGTACAGAGTCGCTCACCATTTGCTATCAGGCGTTGACCTGCTCCGATAATACCCTGTAGGCGCTCGGCATTTGCAGCCAACTCCGCTTCGAAAGCTTGGTGTTTTTGGTGTTTTGCTTGAACATTGATTTTGGGGTCTTTGTATGATTCATCCATGGTCATTTGCATCTTCTTAGTAATCCAAAGCTCCATTTCATCTGCATCTCTGATGAATGCCTGGAATGTTTGTACGTCCCTTAGTTTGCTGCGGTTCTCAATCATAGCATCTTTGAGATGACTCCAGCGATCGAGAACGTCTGTGAGCTTGGCGCGGATCGCATCGGAGTCATAATGGTCAGTCTCCAATAGTTTATTAGCACCGGTAGTCAACGACTGAATTTTAGCCTCTTGCAGGTTGATGGCGCGATTGAAATCCTCATGTTTCTTGATAAGCGCATCAACTTTGTTTCCATCAACATCGTCCCCAGCGAGAGATGTCTCCCGGATAGCCATCCAGTCTTCAGCCTGCTCGCAGTCTCGAAGGAATAACTGTTCCTCTAAACATTGTTCCAGCGTTTTCTGACGGTTAAGCCAATCACTAAAAGAAATCACAGCATTTGGTGGATTACATAACTAAGTCAAGACCATGGACAGATGAGGTGGCAGGGACATGACATGCATTAGTACACATAAGACTCTGTGTGCAGCTACTGTGAAATTGAACCTTCAAGTCATGAAATTATCCAGGTAAAGGGAATAAGGACAAGTAGCTTACTCATTCAGGGCTCTGCGAGCCTCAGTAATGCGCTGCAAGTTCTCCTGCACTTGTTCACCAGCATAATGACCATGGTCGAGGAGTTCTTTGCCGAAGGCCTCCAGGTTGTCAAACGCAGGTCCACGTGTATCTATCTCCGTACGATAATCCTAGTGTTGAAATTTGGATATTAACATGTTATGAAATAATCTCTATCGAACCTTGATACAAGAAAGTTGGCTATTGGGAAAATTACGATTGGTACTGAGTTAATGAATGACCTACCGCTGGGAGGTGATATATTTCGGGGTAGCCAAAAGAGAAACCAAGTCAGTTATCCTGCCAATTGATGAACGTCGCTTATTCGCTTCAGAAAAAAGGTGGATTACCCACGGGTTTATCTATTAACTCACGCTCCTTTTGGATAAGTTGTGGGTCAATCCTACACCCGTTTGATCTACTGCAGTGGACAACACCTCAACTGTATATGGTGGTTGTGTAACCCTCACGCTTTAGACATTGTTTTATCTAATTGTTTACTGAGTGGGGCAAAATATCCCCAGAAACCGCTAATCCGGTCGGCACGTCCCAAGATGAGCGATCAAACAGGCTATACATTGCGCCAGTTGGTTGCGCTTTCTCCCTCTGCGAAAATGTATTTGTCGACAAGATGGAAGAACTGGAGTGTCTTTTTAATTGCTTAGTAAACACTTAAGGCTGAATCCACGAACGAAAGTTAAATAAACAAGGATACAGCGTTTGATAGAGAAACGACAAGCAATCGCCATCCACGTGAAGTTGTGATTACACGTTATAACTAGTCAGTCAATGGAGCACCGAAATCAACTCGTTTTTATAAAGAAAACAATGACCTCAAAAGAGGAAAACCGTACAAAACTCACACGATGTCTTTCCAATAAAGCTTCAGCACCGGTTACATCTTTTGCAAGCTCGTCTGAAGCGACCAATGAATCCATCGTATTGATCCATGACTGAAGATCTCTAAAGGAATACGGAAAGTGCTGAAGTCAGTTTCAGTTTGTAAGACCATTAAACATGCACTTTGGAGTGCCGATTTTGGCTGCTATCTTATGATAGCCCATCTGAATGAAGGAGTAAAAGGAATACTGCAAAGTTCAAATCTGTCACAATTAAAATGGAGAATTCATGAAGAGTACGGTTGCAGCAACACTGAGCAGACACACGAGCGCCATTGTTTAAGACAATCCACCACATTACTATTTATCCAACTAGAAATCAGGGTCTCCATCCGAAAAGCCTAACATGAACCACGTGAGCAACTCCTCAGGTCGGGATTTTCATACCGTCATGCTGGGTCTTAGTTCAATCATTCTGGACCTTCGTCCACCCATTACTTGCATCAGCAACCACCACGGGCCGTAGCCACCCTATTTGATGACGTGAGTAACACATGCTTACTAGCATAATCTACGCAGGCCGATCCAGGGGGCGACCGCAATTAGCTAAAACTGTGCACCTAACCTGAGCACTGCTTGTCCGGTTTTCCCACCAAACTCATGCAATGCGGTGTAGACAGTGGTGTTCAAACACTGACCGTTTTCGTAACGACTAAGTCTCTGCGCCGTATGGTAGCTATCGTCGAACCGCTGCAGTATACACTGGACTCTTCACAGACAGCCGAGTGTCGTGAGGGTGAAACGGATGTCTCACACTGACAAATACCAATTGAGCATTATGCGTTGCGTCCAGAATTATCTACAACAAAGTTAAACAGAAAATAAGGGCAAACTTGACGAGTGCCGCTTTCCGTGAACTCAGACGAAGTGCTCTGAGCTCGGACTAGGCTATTAGTATTAATTTCTTGGGCACACATAGGGAGAGGGCGACACCAGAGTATAGAGTGGTTGGTTCAGATGGAGGAAGACAGAAATGATGGATCTAGGATGACAATGTCCTACAGTTTGGCGAAGAATGAGTGTGGTCGATGCTGCGTCGACCGGGTCTAAAAACACCCTAGTTCTCGCGCCTGTACACTTCACATGCGGCTGAAAACAGTCGACAACGAAATGGGAGAGCAATTACACACTATGCAAACAATCAATGAAACTGGGTCAAAAACTAATTTTGAATCCACATTCCATTTTCATGTCGTTATCGTGTATCACAAATACGCTGGATAGATATTATCACCATCATTATTGCGCAGCGAAATTTAGTGGGGTAAACTTCGCCGATTACTGTACCACCATAACTTCGTGAAACTAAAAAAATTCCACCAAGTTGTAGGACCAAAGTACTTCTCGATCATGCCTCATGCTACGTTTGTTGAATGAACAATCATAGTGTGACATCTACTGCCATAAAGAGGTAGAACCCCCAACAAACATGCTGCAGATGATCAATAAAGTGGTACCGATGCTTTAAGTGAAACCTTAATAAAAACGTGTGAAAATTCATATCGCGATTCATTTTATGAAGTTTACATCACTTCAGGAGTCCTACAATCGGCATGCAACCCGGTGCGGAGTATGGACGCCAGAAACTCATTGGGGGAGCATGTGATAAATCGCTGAAGATATTCCGTTGTGAGGTGACTGCAAAGACAAGCAGCTGTATCAAGCTATTTCAGATAGAATTTTCTTGATAAAGAATTTGATAATAAAAGTAGTGCTTTTCTCTTACACTTTTCATATGACGAATAGCAGACGGAGTAACCCCCCACCCCCACCCCCTATTCACGAGGACTTGGAGTGACGAACCACATGAAGCTTCGATAGGTCAGGCATTGTATTGAACCGGATGACGGTAAAGCTGTTTACCACCAAAGTTGGGTGGCGGGGCTAGAACCAAAGCACGCCCTTGACAGCGACTAAATCACTGTGCCACCACCTACGGATATTGACTGAAAACTCATTTAGGTTTAGTGAAATTTCACATTAAGGTAGTCCACAAATGAAGAGAACAGAGTAGAGATATCAGGTTAATGCTAACTGAAGGGAATCAAACGGAGCCTGTTTTTTCTCACCTGCAATCCGCAAGAAACTTCTGGAGATCAAGTGAATCCAAAAGTTTGGCTTTGCGCTGCTCAGCAAGGGAGGCAAGATTGTTCCAACTTTGGTTTATCTCTTCTTGATGTCTGCAGATAGCTTCAGCTTCTGTGGGGTGTGTCTGCACTAAGTCCGCTGCTTTGCTGTCCAACTGTTTGACACGATCGTCGAGTGCTACCATATCACGCTCCAATGCATCATGCTTCCTTATTAGACGTTGGACCGAGGTCAAGTCGTTCCCAAGATCATCTATGAGAAGACGAGCTTCTTTTTCCTCAAT